GATGGGTTTTGCTGAATAACGGTTCTTCAGCAAACTGTCAAAAATGCATCACAGTTTTTATTTTTGGTTAAGCTGTTCTTCATACGCTACTTCCAGACTGCTGTGAACCAAGTTGTACGCCAACCCTCGTTTAACATTGCGAGGGTACGTGAGTTGTGGAGCAGGAAACGACTCATATGAGTCAGACTGTTTGTGGCAAACTTCTGTAAAGTAAAGTATTCGTCTAAATACCAACATGTTCGACAGACATTTTCTTCAGCTTCCCTCGCGACGGGAATGTTTGTTAAGAACGAAAAGTTCCAATAATTTAGGAACGTTTTCGACTCCTTTCAGAAAAACGTTTTCCATCTTCATCTTCATCTTCTATAACCGCTTCTCTTTTCGGGTCGCAGAGGTTTGCGATGTCGTTCTCGTGGAGCCTTTTCTGACGTGCTATAATGGCACTGCTGTCTTGCCCTCTGTCCGTTCCTCCGAAGAAGCGACTCAGATGCTGAGTTGTATTTTTGTCGTTGTTTTGCCGTTGTTGTGCTGCTACGCCCCCGGCTGACATAACGCGATGAGCAGGTTCTGATTGCCGACTTTCCACAGCGTGCCTCAGACCCCCCAACAGCCTGCGTGTCTCTTGGTAACCCGGGTGACCACCGAGCCTGCATAATGTTCGATGCCAGAAATACCGTGAAGAGAAGGTGGCTCCGCTTTACGGAGATTTTTCCACAGTCTCCAACCTTCCTTCATTCTCATCCTGGCAACAGCGGAGTTGTAAATGGTCTTACTGTGTACATTTAAGATTTTGATATATAACCTATAAGATTTTTGGAGCTTGCAAGATGCTCTAGATTATTTTCCAGGAGCGGCTGATTCGCGCTGATAGCAAGTCCCCAGTGATTGCATGTTTTTCAACGAAATGAATACAAGTTTCGTCCAGGCAGAAGGTGGCGTATGCTGACTGAGGGTACACAAGGAAAATTGACTGCATCTTGCTGTGCGTAGAAAGAAAGCAACCTTTTGTTCACGTTTTTGTAATTCATGTTCATGTTCTTTAAGAGTGTAATTTAAACAAACGTCCTCTGCTGTTGCACGGTTCTGAGTCAGGAACCGAGTAAGGAGCCGAGCTCCTCAGTCGATTGTGATGCCCAGCCGTTGCGTTACTGTTTCGAATTCATCCTTTAACGTTATATTTAGCCGTATCATCGCAAATATCTGTATGTTGACCTTGGATTCGACATATTCTC